TGATTTTTGAAAAGTGGAACTTAAATCAGGATTTTTGAAAATGGAAATCTAAAAGCAGGTGTAGGTGTAATTTCCTCTAATTTAAATCAGATTTTAACCACACATTTCAAAATCTATAAATAATCTAATTTTAATTCCTAACAAACAGGGGCTGAATATGATGAAAGAGAACTTAACGAAAAAATGATTTTCATAATTTATACATATATATATATATATATATTTTTTTTTATCTTAAATATAAAAAAAAATAGGAAAGATAAAAAATAATAACATTTGGATCAATGATTTTTTGTTTTCATTTTTTACAATAAAAATGTATTTAGATAAAAAAAAAATTATTGATGTGATTTTGTGCACAAAGAAGAAAAAAGATTAGTTCTCTTTTAGCCTAGGCTTTAGCTACAGAATTCTTTTATCTAAACTAAAAATAAGAAAAAATATCTCGAGAAACTATATTTTTAAATTATATTATAAAGACAAAAAGGTAAATTCAGAAATTCATGTTTGTATATTGAATGATAAGGCTTACCTAAATTTTAAAAATGAGAGTAATCATTGTAACATCTAGTGATCATAAAATAGGTACGAGAAGTGTTTATAAACTGTTTAAATTACAAATAAATAAAATTGAGTGAAGATAAGTGGACAGTATTTATGTTTTTCTCGAAATGTGTGAATAAAAATGTGATTTAAGTGTTTATACATAATTTATAGAGTCAAATATATTCTTAGATAATAACAGTGTATTTTACTCTAATAAATGTTACAGACGTCGTCACCCCTCGTTTAATCTAACGCACTAAAAAAATTTAGTTCTACTAAAATTTTAATTAGTATCAAGAACGCATTCTTATTTCGAATTCAAAGATTTCGAGAAATAGATTGAGAATAGTGCTACTGAAAATGTAAACGTTTAAACATGACAACACTCGATCGAACTTATTATCTATGCTTCACCCCATAGCAGGTCGAACATATTGAAATTGGCACCATTAATATAAATTATTTAGCCTACAATTATAAATAAATAAAAAATTAATGATGAATGAATGGATAGTGCTTTTTGGTTCAAAGGCTTAGATCCAGACAAATGGAAAATTCACTTTATTACTCTTGCTATGTACGTATAATACTTGTTGAAAAATAAAAAATAAAAGGATTAAATTGTAAAAATCAATAGTTATGGGGATCTTTGAGATTTCCCCAAACTTGAAGGGCTAGAATTCCCATTCTGACCTCTCATTTTTCACCCTTTTGCCCAAATCGCCGTAGACCTTTCAATTCCAACTCAACAAATTCTGAAGTGATATCAGGCGAAGAGGAGTATGGGAGGTGGACACGGCCATGGCGTAACGTACAAAGGCGTAACATTGCACCAGCCCAAGAGGTGGCATACTGTCACTGGCAAGGGCCTATGTGCCGTCATGTGGTAAATTCATTAACTCGATCTCGATCACGAGTCAAAAGATGTTGCTCCAATTTCTAATTGACTATTGTAATCGCTTTAGATCTGGTGTGCATTGTTAGGGAAAATTGTATAACTGTTTGATTTTTGTTGGGTTTCTTTCTTTGGTGATTTTCTTTTGGCTAATTGAAGATAGTAGTATATATAACCGCTAAATTTATGACCTATTTAAGAGAAACTTAGTCATGAATATGGGTGATAGTTTATTTTTGGGTACAGTTATAGGAATTGGTTGCTACTATTATGGAGATTTTAAGAAAGTGTAGCTGTAGATAAATTTCCATCACACAATATTGGAGCTTAGAAAATTAGATTATATCTTTTGTCATAATAGGGCTGGAATTATTTCCATGTTGTACTAATATTATGCTTGAGGTATTGAAGAATGAGTTTTGAGCAATGCTCCTAGCATGTAATGAGTCTATTTGCTCAAACTGGGGTTGGAATATGAAGAATGATTGTGAATGTGAGCCCATCATCAAATCTTTCTCAAATAAGGTTGCATGTTTATATTTTGAAGTCTTTCTTATTCTTTTGCAAGGAGCCTTGTTATGAAGGTTCTACTGAAAGAATTGTCTTCAAGGGCATTCTCACCATGGGTTGTGAAGCCATAAAAAATTAATCTTGCATCTACATTTGTCCGAATAAGAGCCTCTTCCCTTCAAAATGAAAACAAAAATAAATGAGAAAAGTAGTTCCTATTAAATGGTGATATATTGTGCCATGAAGTGGAAAGGTGAATACACTATTGGAGCACTGCTGGCCTTCTTGCTGCCTACATAGTATTCTGCCATATTGCTTCTACAGATTGTGATGTGATTATATATACTTATAGAAGCTGGATTACTTAGCCACCATTTACATTTTTATGATGTGTAATGGATCTTCTGAATATTCCAGTAGGGAGATTTTTATAATGATACTTGATTACGGTTTGCTTTGTAAAATTGGAAACCCATTTCACTTAGAATTGTTAAGGACATAATCATTTATTTCACATCAACCCACATTTATTTGTTTATTATTACTGTTAATCTTTTTCTTGACTATTGATTTTGCCAAGGAAAAAAATCTTACAGAATTGGAGGATTAAGATGTGCACTAATCAATACATGCGATGCATTAACCTTTGTTCTTTCATTATTATCTTGACTGAAAGTTATAAATATCTTTAAAAGTAGATTAGTGTAATAACAGCATCCATGATACACAATATGTGAGCATGTCCATTCTGTGCATTATATTGTATTTTTCTATTGTCATATTGTTTTTCAGTTATAAATCGACATGGTTGGTTTTTCAGGTTTTGGATTTTGTACAGGGCAAAGAAAGATGGTCCTGTAGTATTGGTGAGCTGGAATTATTATTTTTGCCCTTTTTATCATACATTCGATGTGATGTTTTCCTTCTTTTTCATAATGATTTAGCTGAACCATTAGTAGATTTGTTCACACGGTCCCTGTGCTTTCAGGGCTGGAGGCATCCTTGGGATGGCCACGAAGATCATCATTAGGTAAATCTTCTTTTCTCTCTTTTATCTTTCTTTTCTGATTCTGATATAGAATTAGTAAACCCCTCTTACATACCACAAAGAATGGAATTATTTCCATATTGGTTTATAACAAATAATGGCCTTTCCATAAATAGGTTTTATTCGTTCCAAGTATGATTTCATTTAAAAAAGCAAACAGCCAGCCTCCATTCATGTTCTGGTGAGCCAAAAGGAAATGACAGTGTGAATATCATAATACCCCTTGATGAGGAGACATGTCTCTGTAATTAAATTACAGTTTGGTTTATGGACTACTTTGTGATTTTGATTGGTTTAATGATTGATGAACTACTCTGGTTCCTAACAAGATTTATACAGTGAAGATAACACACCTCATAAGTCATAATAGTATCAATTTGGAATAGGCAATCACACCTAGTTGGATTTCATGGGAGCTTGGGTCACATGTGCTGAAGGGTCAGCAGATTCTGTCTCACTTAAGTTGGAACAGTACTCCAAGAGCTTTGGATAAGTAAAATTGGTCGGCTTATTTGATAGTCATTTGGTTTTGGGATGGAAGCCCATGTCAACCAACTCATTAGAGGACGAGGGGTAGGATGGGACCAATGTTTACTGATCTATATGTGCATTTATTAAGAATTAGTTAAGAGCTGAATGACATTGATTTCTTCCCTTTTTCCTGGAGAATAGGAGTTGTGGCAGTGTTAAATGGATTATTTTGAGAAATATGTGAACTACAAATTCTACAATAAATCTTCAAGAACTTTATGGGAGCATTGGTCACTAACAATTCAAAAAGGACATGACCAAGCAACAAAGCTGTGAAACTGACAAAACATTAAACCACAGGCCACAGCCAAGGAGAAGACCATGGGACAAGGGGTAGGAACTTGTTATGCTAACTATAGGCACGAGACGGTAACCGTGCTCGATAGGCCTGAGGTTCAATACCATTTTCTGTAATAGCGGTTGTCGCTAATTTTATAGTATAGGAAATTTCGAAGGATCCTTGTGAAGTTCACACACAATTTATAGTCACACTAGTTAATTTCCGTGTTGTGTTAAATTGATCAAAATTTAACAATGCAGACTATGTTGCAGGTTTCCGATGGAGAGCCGAAAATGAAATATGAAGCACTTCGCTTTTCAGTTCTTGGTTATCTTTGTCATTTGGGATTGAACTTGTTTCTGTACAACAATAAATTGATTGTGTGAAGCGAATGGCTTGATCATGAGATTATGCGCAACTCTTATTTAGTTTGCTGTTTTCTAAATGCATAGTACATTTGATGCTTCTCCTCGATATGGATGGCTGAGATGCAGTATTGATTTTATTTCTCTTATTATTGATATACTATTTCATAAACTTTTACTGAAATTTACAAAGAACCTTATTTTAGTTAAACCAAACAGGGGCTTAAGTGCACCTCGAGTTTCAACTTGTGAAATCGATTTAACTGCATACAAAATTCAAAATTGTTAGGCAATCAGCCTTTACTTCCTTTCTTGAACTAGGTTGGGTCTGAATTCGGTGAATCCTTTGGCTTTCACCACCATCGTTGATTAATTTATTTCCTTTAATTTATTTTTAATTAAACATTTAATTAATTTTTATCAAAATTTGCTAAAAATTTGATTTAATCAAACGAAATAGGGGTTCAATTCAACGTTTGAATCGTTTAGATATAAATAACTAGATCCTTCAATTCAAGGCTATTTTCATTCATATTTTATTGATTCTAATAACTACATGTGTTTCGACAACTTCATTTTACGAGCATTTTATCTATTAACTATCCAACTCCCATAAGTCACCGTTCTCTATATCTCCGCAAAATATTGCAATTCTTTTCTTCCAAATTTTCTTCTTCAATTATGTGTTCATTACGTAACTATTGTATTAATATATATTGTGTTACTAAGCTATGTGCTTTATTTTCCGAATTATATATAACATTGATAGTAATTGTATCTAATAATACTATTTTCTTTTCAAGAAAGAAACGAGAAAAATCTTGTAGAAAATACTATTTTCAAGACTTCTTTTTTCTTTTTAATCATAAGATAAAAATGAGTTAAATGTTTCATTAGTCACCGAACTTTACATATGTCACGACTTACTCATCAAACTTTACTAATTGTCTCGGTGGCCACTGAACTTCACCCCGTCCAACTTCATCACCCACCCC